CCCAAATAATATAGGTAATTATTCAGGCCCCTATATTATCCCAAGCCAAAAAGAATCTGGATTGGGAGTCTGCCTACGAAGAAGCTGTTTGCTCTGCGGTCTTCTGATTTACGGCCCGCCTTTCCCTTCGGAAGCACGCCTCACGGTTTAGGGTTTAGGGTTTAGGGTTTAGGGTTTAGGGCCGAAGACCAAAAGAACGCATGCGCTTTCTTTTGCTTTATGTCATGTTCAGTCGGGCGATAGCCTCGCTAGTGGTGGTGGGCTTAATATAAGGGCCAGTCTAAAGCCCCAAACCCTAAACCCTTGCACATGGGTAACTATGGTATTCCCGTTCCTCTTCCACCCAAACCTTCCGAAATCCCTAAACTCAGGAATATACCTTAAACACTATTAGGGATCCTCCCCGCATTTACATTAAGGTGTAGTCCCTAATTAATGGCATGTGGAAGGTCTGTGTACAGATCCGAAAAGCCCTACAACCTAAACCCTAAACCCCTAAACCCTAAACCCTAAACCCTAAACCCTAAATTAGTAAACCCTAAACCTCTAAACCCCTAAACCCTAAACCCTAAATTTAGTAAACCCTAAACCCTACCGAAAGCCCCACAATAAAAGGCTTGAGCCGGAGACTCCCTTTGAAGATGCAGAGCGGGCATGCGGCCTGGGCGCAGGCACCACAACTTCGGGGTTTCGGGGTGTAGGGGTTTAGGGTTTAGGGGTGTAGGGGTTTAACGGTTTAGGGTTTAGGGGTGTAGGGGTTGAGGGTTTAGGGGTGTAGGAGTTTAGGGTTTAGGGGTGAAGGGGTTTAGGGTTTAGGCACCACCAGGAAAGCTTGAGGTTCTAGGGCCAATAAGGGTACTATGAACCCTGAAGCCTAAACCCTAAACCCTGCCGACGACCCTCAAATTCCGGAACCCCAAACCGAACCAAACCCCCTAGATAAGCCGTGGCCATGACCCCTCCAATGCTCTGCAGCCCAACCCTCGGGTTTAGGGTTTGAGGGTTTGAGGGTTTGAGGGTTTGAGGGTTTAGGGTTTAGGGTCCCAACCCCAGGGTTTAGGGTTTAGGGTTCAGGGGGAAACTACAGGTGGGGAGTTTTATATAGGGCTTCTATATGGCTTCTATAAAGTATATAGACCTTCTATAAGGCTCCTTATAACGGTAACTACCCATCTGAAAATGTCCTAGACTTGGGCACTGCCTAAAATGCAATCAGCTTATCTGATTTGAGAGATGATTAAACTCTCGAGTCACCCAAGCTCAGGGTACCCTAAAACCTAAACCCTAAACCCCTAAACCCTAAACCCTAAACCCTAAACCCAAACGGATACTCTTCGTCCTGTGGTTCAACTTTGAGAAGGAGACCGCAGAAGAAGAAGGACTAAGGGTACTACGCCATGCTTCAAAAGCCTGCAATGACCCAAAAGTCCTCTCAAACCGGACCAAACTAACTCTCTAAAAACGTGTATATGCATATATATATATATATATGCATACATACATATATACACACATATACATAGCACTTATAAATTTTAAACCCAGAGTACATCGAGACACGAAGCCACACAATTGCGGGCTGACCGGGCAACCTATTCGAAAACCGGCACCAAGCCAACCCAACTTCACGAAACCTCAAAGGACCGCAAAGCAACGCGGCGTAACACCTTCATTGCTGCATCCTCCACCTACCGTCCCAACCTTTTACTGAAGTTGCGGGTTTGAGGGTATAGAGCTTACGTTGATTTTGGGTACAGGCCCCGCTGCAAACCCGAGACCCTCATCTGCACACCCCAAACCCTACAAAGATCCTACACCCCGAGCCCTACCTGTAGTCTCTATAGTAGCTCCTTGTGGGCATTGGATCCTAAATCCTAAATATAAAATCTGTTAAGCCAACCAAAAAAAGAACTACAATGGAGATTTGCAAAATCAGCCCTAAACCCACACCCCCCCCCTTAAACCCTACATCCTATGTAAACCCAACTACCCAAATTCCCAATACCCTTAAACCCAAACCCTAAAGCCTAGACTTATAAGCCCTCAACCCTAAAACCCCCAAAACCCCTAAAACCTAAACCCCCTAAAAACCCCCTAAAAACCAGCCGTGGCTCATAGGAGCCCCACAGCTTCCTCCCAGGCGTCGCTCTTTTGACAGGCGCTGATGATGGTGTTCAGGGTGATTGCAGAGGGACCTGGGGCTCAGGGGTTTAGGGTTTAGGGTTTAGGGTTTAAGGGTTAGGGTCGAAGGCTTTGGGTTTAGAGTTTGGGGTCTAAGGTTCTGGGTTGACCAGCACCCCCCAAGTGCCCTTTAATAGAGCCCTTTTGGTCCTTAACAATGGGTATTCGCCTACACTCCTGAAGGGCTCACATGCTTTCACGCAAGCCTAAACCCTAAAACCTAAAACCTAAACCCTAACCTGAACCCTGAAACCTGAAACCTAAAACCTAAAACCTAAACCCTAAAACCTAAAACCTAAAACCTAAACCCGACACCAGATCCGGCCTAGTCTTTCAGCGACTGCCTCCTTCAGCAGCGCAAGAGCAGCCTCCCATTCTCCCCGCATCTCACAGACAGAGAGTGCGGCATTCACCGCGATGATGTTCGGTGTAGCCTGACCAGGATCCAGAAGTGTACCAAGTTTAGGGTTTAGGGTTTAGGGTTTAGGGTTTTGTATCAAGGGCTGGGCAGTTCGGTATTTCGGAGATCTGCGTCGATGGTATTGGTACTCTTGGTGGGTGCTGACGCAAAAACCAGCCCTACACCCTAATGTAGGGGCCTTAATGATTAGAAAACGGCTTTGGGGTATATATTATGCTATAAGTATAACAAGGAAATCCCCAAATAGTAGAGGTAATTGATTATTCAGGCCCCTGCATTAAACCCTAAGCCGTAAAGCCCGAATATTCCCGTAAAGGACCGGCAAACTTACCCTAACGATAAAAAATACTGAATTACTAAACCCTAAACCCTAAATTACTAAACCCTAAACCCTAAACACTAAATTACTAAACACGAAACCCTAAATTACTAAACCCTAAACCCTAAAAGCAGTAACTTGGGAGCCACGGAGAGCTCCTGCTTTCCAGAGAAGACAGGTCACTCACTTCCTGGGTTATAAGTAGGGTAACTATGATTATAACCCATATTAGGGGACTTATAACTCCGCTTATAACTACCCATGAGCCTCCAAGTAGAACCCCAACCAACACTAAAAGGTAAACTGAACCCTTAAGGGTTTCTATGTTTCTAGGTTCAGGGCTTAGGGCTTAGGGACTAAACCCTTAAGGGTTTATAGGCTTCTAGGTTCAGGGCTTAGGGTTTAGGGTCAGCCCAGCTGTGTTCTCCGATCAGGCTGCGACGTCACGCTGTCCAGCTTAATTCTGCAAGCACTGAGGAAACGCCCGCTTTAAAGGAAGCTTGCACGAAGCGACTTTCCAATGTGTGGCAGTCACCCTCCTTCGGCAAACTCGCAAGCGAGCCTGACTCATCAAGTAGGGCGAACTCTCCTTCTGCAAGCTAGGTCGGCGCTTACTCTGCCGAGCACGACATGCTTCAAGGGTCACAGTTTCTGAGACCCCGTTTACCGATCTCGCTCATGCACGGACGGCTGCTGCAGAAAGGTGCGTGCAATGTCTTAAAACACAAAAATGGGTTGCTGGCACCACCACAGATGGCATGGCATCAGCCTTGATGTTGACCCTGACTGCTACAGAACAGGTAGTTCTGCACGCTCATGCTTCGAGAACACCTCTCAAGCCCAACATGCCGAAAAATCGCAGACCAAATCCTTGGCAACCACTCCTGAACCAGTTCCTTTTGCCGGTACTGGGCATTGCGATGCAGTGGAGCACATGACGCCGGCTCAGAAATCTCGGGAAGGCCTAACAGGTCTAGAGGTGTCCCTCATTTCAAGCCTAAACATCATCACAAATAGCATGTCATGAGACTTGAGTTTAATATTGGCTTCTGCGCTTGCTTATGCACGTTTGTCCCTTCCTTAGAAATAACTGTCGACGGAAGATGTAGGGCTTACGGAGCAAATCTCGATAAAGAATCACCGTGCACTTTCCTTCTACGATCTGGGTCTCGGCGCTTGCGTCTGAACTTCCAAGAATCTATCCTATCATCTTCCGTTCACCCCGGTCTCGCTACTGCGCGGACCTCTTCTGCAGAAAAGTGAGCGGCATGTGTGCGCCTCAGAAACAGGAATACTACCAAGGTTATATAAGAGCATCATGACAGATGCATGATGTGAGACCTGCTTGACGTTGGCTGCTGCAGCTTGATTCTGCAACGTGCTTCGAGAACGCCTCTCAGACCCGTGAATCCTTGTCAAGCAGGCTTCAACCACAAGCTGCACACTTATATAGGAAGGCCAAGTAATGTAGAAGCCCAAATTATTATAGGCGGGGTTCCTTACTATAACTATAGTGGAAAACCCTGTTCTAATTATCAAGGCCCTTAAAGTATGGCTTCGGAAGGTGCAGAGCCCCTCCTTGAAATAGTATTCGGCATCCCGCTGCAGCTGGGTTTTTGGTTTAGGGTTTACACGATTCAGACAACACTGGAAATCTGGAGGGCTGATGGCGGCTAACATGTCTCCAGGCATCTTTCCATGCCAGCACATTCGGCCTACACCCTAAACCCTAAACCGTAAACCCTAAACCCTAACAAGAATTACAGTCACTCCCGCTGCGAGTGCCCAAGGCCCCAGAACGTCGGCAAGGTCGCTATTCGGAATGCAACTTCCAAGCCGTCAAAGCTTAAATTTAATCTCTTGTCCCTGTGCCTGGGTTTAGGGTTTAGGGTTTAGGGTTTAGGGTTTAGGGTGTAAGCGTCATGTCAAAGCAGTAAAGGGGAACAGAGACCTTGCCACCCCTGTCTGGAAAGCAACCCGTGCCAGGAGGAGAATCCCCTGCCCGGAGCGATGGTGGCATGCATCGAAGCCTGCCCCCAGACCAAACTCTTGAAACATTGCTTCGGCGCTCACCGTCATCCCAAAAACTCTAAGTTCGTCTATACTTCAGGCCTTTCGTGTTCAGGGCAAACGTGCTTGTGTCTCGGGCTTGAGGCTGCAGGTTGATGGTGGTCTGGTGAGCTGCCATCAGAATCAGTCGTAGCGCTCCGTCTGAGATTCCGCATTAACATCCACCAACAATGACAGAGAGCCCTAAACCCTAAACCCTAAACACAGAGAAAGTAAGTATCTTTACCGTTGGTGTTGGTTGCCGCGGCAACTCGTCGAGGCGCTGGAGCGGCCAACTTCAGAATGTTGAACGCTCCTGGATAGAGCGATACAGCTGGGGGGCTGAGACCTGTATGTCCTAAACCCTCAACTGCCTTAACACATCTGAACTCCATGCCTCCGGCATTACGGGCAGAGCTTGGGCTTAGCTACTGCCGTGCTGGAGGCACAAACTGACAGTGGCATCAGATAACTCAGGATCAGATTGTGTCCTGCAAGGAAAGCACCCGAACATCCACCAGTACACTACCTAGAGTCTCCATTGTGGTTCCTTTTTGGGGATACCGTGTAAAACCCTTAATCCTTAATATATATAATTGCATGGCTAATCCAAAAAAAGGAACTACAATGGAGACTATAGGTAAGAAAGAATGAAAGGGAGTGTTTGCTCAAGTTGATGTTGGTTGCCGTGGCAACTCACACAGACACTGGCCTGGCCAACTTGAGCAAATCAAGCTGCTCCTGAATGGAGTTGTAAAGTTCGGGACTAAAGCTACCGATCATCTGGTGGCCGAGCAAGGTACTAATCGGCAGCGCGCTCAGCTGTGTCTGGAGCGAGCGCACATCCGTGGCTGCCTCCTGGTCTGGGGCGATCCAGGCGTCTTCAACAATGTCGCGCAGTGCTTGAATAGAAGGAAGCTCATGCGACATTCTGGTAGCTTTGATCTCCAAGCAATTGCGCAAGAGGAGCAACTTGCTTGTAACGCTCAATCGATGCAACTTCACCCGAAGATGCTTGGTCGGGCGAAACACGTCGCGATGCTCTGCATGATGGCAGTAGAGACAATCCCAGCCAGCTTGACAGTTCGCACGCGCGAAGAGCACGCAAGGCCTGCGGCAAAATTCTGGATGACCTCGACTGCCGGGAATACGTTCAGCAGCAATCCGTTCTGGAACTGCTGTCTCGGGCACTTCGGCAAGGAGGACTGCCGAGGGTGGTGTCAAAGCTGAAAGCGGGGGCAATGGTTGCAAATTCGCTGCGTGCCCCAACACCTCTGCGAGGTACCTGTCTTGGGTGCTCTCGACTTTGACCTCCTCTCTCGGTGGAACGCTCTTTGGGCGGGTCGGCGAAGGCGTGCGCTCCTCTACCTCGATGAAGGTGAACCTGCTCTTCACGACCCACGCCATGAAATCGCAAGGAGGAGCGCTGGTGACAAACCGTCCGAGCGTCGAGCAACTCCCGCCGCTTGAGCCAAACTGACTTTTGAAGCAGTACGGCATCGGGGTGTCAGGTGCTTGAGGCCAGCCCTGGAAATTTGAGGAAGATGTCGAATCGCAGCGACGTGTTATGCGCCTGGCTTCATGTGTTGAAGTTGCAGACCACCCGCCAATTGCTGCTGCTGGACTAACTTGAATGGGATCCTGATGGCGCTTCAGTATTACTCTCTGCGTTTGACGGATACTTGATGAAGGAAGGTGCTAAGTCGCAGTTGTCACAACTAATTAGATTGGGGCTAGCTTTAGCTGTCTGGTTTCAAAGCTTCAAAGCTATCCCGCAAATTGCAAGCCATGCTCTGATTCTCCAAGCCTTCAACATCATGGCATGTTGTAAGTTTCCCTAGGGCTCCAAGTATACAAATAGTACCTGCCTTGGGGTCTAAAGTCTGCAAATAGTACCCACTTTGGGCTGTTTGGAGCCCGACAATTTCCATGGCACTTTGGGGTTCCTTGTAATAAATAGAGTATAATGGGCCCCAAAACCCTATTCCAATGTAAGTTTCCCTCAGGGTGAGCCTTCTTGGCGCTCATGTGGTCGATGATTCGCAGCGCGAGTGGCCAGTCAGCAAAGCCCTCGCAGGCCAATGCCGTCGAGAAGGTCACGGTGTCGGATTGGACCTGTTGCTTCCATACACGGTTTGGGGTTTAGGGTTTAGGGTTTGGGGTTTAGGGTTTAGGGTTTAGGGTTTAGGGTTTAGGGTTTGGGGTTTGGGGTTTAGGGTTTAGGGTTTATAGGTGGCTTAATAATTAGAACAGGGTTTTGGGGCCCATTTTCCTCGAATTGAAAATAAGGAATCCAAAAATAGTATTGTATTTGTTTAGGCCCCAATATTACCACATCTGTTGTTGAGTTATGATATCGCGACGTACTGCTCAGTACCATGTTTGATTCAGTTCATTATAACTCTATTCCTTACAATCCAATCGAACCGAAGTTACAAAGGTATGGAGTGGTGGAGAGTTAGCAGGCCTTGTAATTGGTCGTAGATGCCAGGCTTCGATCGAAACATAGTCTTGAGGGCTCACGGCCTAGGCTTCTTATTCTTAGTCAAGTCAAAGGCTAAAAAGCTTCAAGAAACATGAACCTAAACCCTGGGCCCTAGATGCCTAAAACCTAGATAAACCCCTAAACCCCTAATCCCTGAGGGAACGGACTTGACCCAGCCCCCGTCCGACTGAAGAACAGCTCCCATGCACAAACAAACAAACAAACATACAAACAAACAAACAACAAACCAACACTCAACGCGCACATGCGCAATGCATCGGGAGCGTTCTGGCAACCCCTCCGCCAAACCCTAAATCCTAAACTTTTCGACCCTGACCCCCAACCCCCCTTTTAAAGACACCTATAAGTGCTAAACCCTTCTCGCCCTCAGCATCGGAAGTCGGGCCATACCCGCCACCCTTGCCGACTCCCTCTTCACGCAAGTCTGGCCACCCGGAGCCCCGAACGTTCGCCAAACTTCGCAAAGTATTGAAGCCCTTTGCTGCTTTGCGGCGTAGGACTTAGGATCCAGGGTTTTTAGGATTCAGGGCTTTGGGTTTAGGATTTAGAATTCATTGTTTAGGGGTTCATAGATAGATAATTTAGAGAGCCCCAAACCCCAACCGTACCCCTTGACCCCCGTGCCTGACGGGTTTCCAAGCCCGCGACCACGCCGAGGACTGACTCCCAGTGCCCGCCGGCACTAAGGGCTGCATTCTGACAGATCCTTTCTAGGGTTTAGCGTTCGGGGTTTACGGTTGATGATATAAACCCTGCATTACCCATGATAAGGAATATACCATAATTCCCACAGTGTTGGGTCCTTAAGGTAATGCAGGATTTATATCATCAACAGTAGGGTTAAGGACTCAGGGTTTAGGCTTGAGACCATCTCTGCATTAGGGTTTGGGGTCTCTTAGCTGCCCTCAAATGTAGGGGCCTTAATAGCTAGAATAGGGTTTTGGGGTATATTATACTATAATTCTAACAAGGAGCCCCCAAAACACAAAACAGTATAGGTAACTATAGTATTCAGGCCCCTTGTTTATTCTACAGCCCTGGGCCTTGGGGTTTGGAGGAGCTAAGCTCTTAGGATTTAGCCGCAAGGCCGTGCTGAGTGTGTCTGTGAGCACGAAACCCCACAATGTCCCTGCAATGGCGCGCACCAATTACCCTCACCCTCAACCCTGATCACGAAAAGCAACACCTAGACCTAAAGCCCTTAAGCTGTCAACCGATCCTTAAACTTTGAAGCCTTAGCCATCATCCGCAAACCTTGAGAGCAGCCCAGGAACGTGTTCGCAGATGTGTAGTCTTCAAGAAGTAGTTGGGTCACTCTCCAAGCCTGGCCCTTGCAAGAGCTGAGCGCCACACTGCCTGAGAGAGGGGAGTTCTAAGTACCCCTGAAGGGATCCTACTTGAGGTTTGTGATACTTATAACATCTTTATAACTCCATTGAAAGAAACACTTACTAAGTCTCCCGACCCTCCACCTCAGGGTTCCAGGCTCAGGGACTCTGCGTTGCAAAGGGCCCTGAAAAATGGATCGGAGCTACTGGGAGGTTCATGGGTAGTTATAAGTGGAGTTATAAGTCCCCTAATATGGGTTATCATTATAGCTACCCTACTTCTAACCCCACTTATAACTACCCCATGAACCCTAAACTCTAAAACCCTAAACCATAACCCCACTTATGAGTACCCATGAACCTCAATTTAGGCCTGGTTGCAGCAGTAGCTGTCTGGGCTCACCTGCCGGAGGGCCATGGAGCGAAAAAGGGCAAGAGAGGTTGGCCACCGGAAGTCGCGCAAGCAGGAGCCCATCGCGTTGCCTCGAGACTTCGGGGAGTATAGGGTCGTGGGTTTAGGGTGTAGGGGGTTAGGGTTGAGCGTTTAGGGATCATTTCAATAGGGGTTCCTTTAAAGCTTTAAAGGGTCCTATCAGGGTTGCTGTATATTATACTATGAATGTAGTAAGGAACCCCCACAATACTGTTGAAGATATAAAACCTGCAGTACCCTAAGCACCCTCAACTATGGGAAGTATGGTAAATTCCTTACTATGGGTAATGCAAAATTTCTATCATCAACCGTGATATTGGTCATTATTAAGGCCCCTATATTAAGCCCTACCCTAAACCCTAAGCCTGCAGTACACTTAAAGTACCCCCACTTGGCGCGGCCCCAGACCCATCACCTCACCCTAAACCCTAAACCCTAAACCGTGGCCCTAAACCCTAAACCCTAAAGGAACAATAAACCCCAAACCACCGAACTTCATGCGTGCAATGACAATTTAGGGATTAGGGTTTAGGGTTTGTGGAATGACCACTCTAAACCCTAAGCCCTAGAACCCCCCCAAAGAAAATGTCGCCCAAAGGGGGGAGCCGCATCTGAAAGCTAAGCTCCATCGCCTGTAACTCTAAACTCTAAACAACATGATTGCCTGTAACCCAATAGACCTATGTCTTAGGGTTTAGGGCTCAGGGTTGGAAGATAAGATATGTGGGTTTCGCAACAAAGACCTCAAAGAATGCAGGTCTTCCCTAAACCCTAAACCCTAAACCCTAAACCCCAAAACATGTAAGCCTTGGACTATGAGCTCGGATACTGAAGGTGACCGCATCCCCGACCAAAGTCGCCAAGTGCAAGGAAGCCAGCAAACCCAGTGCCAACTCCTGCGGTTCAGGGTTTTAAGTTTAGGGGATTTGGGGGGTTTAGGGGGTTTGGGGTTTGGGGTTTAGGGTTTAGGGTTTAGGGCTTGGGGTTTAGGGTTTAGGGTTTCGGGCTTAGGGAGTCTAGGGACTTCACTATCACAGGGATCTTGGATGCACTTCGTTTCAGATTACCATTGCAGGACCTTTGTCACTGAAATTTATCGCAAGTTTGCGAACCGGGGATCTGTCTACGAATCAAAAGGCCAAAGCAGGGGATCTAGAAGATGGGAGCTGAGTCTCACTTCATGGGAATCTGTAATGAAATGTTTGAAACCGTAATGGTAACGTACATCAAGCTCCTTAAGGGTCCAAGTACCCATTATTTATAAGAACTTTGGGGCTTTTTTGGGTACCTAAAACCATAAATATAACGATTACTTGGACCCTTACGGGTTTTACAAGAACCCAGACTCCCACTTGCCGCTGGAACGGCATGAGCTGATGGCCGCATCACAAGCACCTCAGATCGGGATCGATTCCTAAACGCTGTGGGTTTAGGATTTAGGGTTTAGGGTTAAACCCTATGATTCACTTTTACGAGGTAGAAACGCACATTTGTGTGCCCGCAGCAGCAGTTGATCGTTAGGGTATAGGGTTTTTGTGTGCAAGGCGGTTTACGGCTTGCTGCACAAAAAATATTCAGCCATAGACCCCAAGCCTTAACCAAAAGAAGACGACGCTCACCTAAAAGTTGCTTGCACACGAACAAGAACCTCCAGAGCCTTCGAGGTACTGAAAACCTTGAGAAACATCGCGAGCACTTCTGCGAAAGTTTCCCCTTCAAGATAGCGCGCTTACTCTAGGCACTACAGGCTTCGAATCTACTACATAAGCACTTGCAAGTGTCAGCTGCAAAGCTAGACAGTAAACCCTAAACCCTGAACCCTAAATCCTAAACCTTAGACTCTAAACCCTAAAACCTAAACTCTAAACCCTAAACCCTAGACCCTGAACCGAACCCTAAACCCTAAACCCTAAACCCTAAACCCTAAACCCTAAACCCTAAACCCTAAACCCTAAACCCTAAACCCTAGACCCTAGACCCTAGACCCTAGACCCTAGACCCTAGCCCCTGAACCGAACCCTAGCCCCGACCCAGGATCCCTACTCCCCTGAAGTCCGAATCCCAAATCAAACGAGTTTAGGGGGGGTTTAGGGTTTAGGGCCTTTGGGGTCTAGGGTTTAGGGTTTAGGGCCTTTGGGGTTTCGGGGTTTAGGGCCTTTAGGGTTTAGGGTTTGGGGCCTTTAGGGTTTCGGGGTTTGGGGGTTTCAGGCTGGGGCTTCGGGTTGCAGGGAATCGTGCCGGCTGCGTACAAAGGCTGAGGGTTGTGGCGTTTTTGCCGAGATCTGGCTCCGTCGGTTTAGGGTTTAGGGTTTAGGGGTTTAGGGTTTAGGGTTTAGGCGGCTGCGTCAATCCTGAAACGCCGCGTCATAAGCGAAACCCCAAAACCCCAAACCTCACATGCAGACCCAAACAGCTCCGTTCGACTTTATGACTTTACGAAACCCCAGGAATCACATGTCCACAAGGTCCTTAACCTTCTGGGCTGGGAGGGGGGAGGGTGACTAGGGACGAGAAAAGCCTAAACTCTAGACCCTGAACCTAAACCCTAAACCCTATGCCGCCAGGCGCCTTTGTTGTAAGGAATCCTGCACTGCTCCATCTCTGCCAGGAGGTGGACTGCAAGCATCCAGGACTGCCAGAAGCAAGGGAGATCGGCTGGACTTTAAGAGCCCCTAAACCCTAAACCCTAAACCCCAACCCCTAAACGCTAAACCCCTAAACCCCTAAACCCCAAACAAACCAAAAACCCTAAACCCTAAACCCTTAAACCCTAAACCCCCCATCCCTAAGTTATGGCTTTCGGACTTCATTCATGGGTTGGGATGGAAGCTTAAGGGCCGTAGGCTTGAGGCTCTCGGGATGTTTTTTTGTAGGGGAAGGTTTAGGGTTTAGGGTTTGGGGTTGGGGGTTTAGGGATGTTTTTTGTTGGTGAAGGTTTAGGGTTTAGGGTTTGGGGTTGGGGGTTTAGGGTTAGGGATTTTTTTGGTGGTCGTATGTGGAAGACTCGGGGCTTCATGTGCAAATGGCACAAACAAACGAGGCTGCCAGTGAAGGAGTAGACAGAAACATGCACCGCGATTGCAACTTGCATGGGCGCAAGTTTAGTGCGAGACGCTTGTACCTGTAAAGATGAGAATTACCCGCAAAAACAGAATTTGCCTAGAATCCCAACCTCGACACCTCAAGTTCTCGCCTAAACTCCAGACCCAAACCGTGCTGCTACCTAGCACCATACAGCGATCCTCAGCACGAAAGGTTCGTGATTGGATGGCTGGCAGGCTTTATAGAGGTGCAGACCGGAAGTCACGACAAGGTGGCGGGGTGGTGTGGTGATGATTCCCATGGAGCCGGTGGAGCAGGGCACGGACGGTGGTTTGAAGGGTCAGACTGTGGTAGCTCTCGCTGCCCTCGTTGTTCCTATCCCACGGGCCATGATCATGCCTGTCCCTAAGGGTCCATGAAGTAGTATATACTTTGGCCCCAAGGTACCCATATAGGGACTACTTTAAGGCCAAAGTGTATACTATTTGGGTACATGGACCCTTGGGGTGTGGGCAGACACCTGTGTTCTCCTCCAGAACATACGTGTGGTTTCCGAGAAGAGTTAGCACTTGCACGGGCCCTAAAGTAAAGTACCCCTAAGTTTCATACATTCCCACACAGAGTTGTATCAATGAGGGTCCGGGCACATGACAATGATCTGCCGGTTTCAATTTGGGGCTTATTTGGGGGGCTTACAGGTCAAGCTCTACAGGTGTTTAGGGCTTTGGGCTTTGGGGTGTCCTGTCTCCAATGGAGCATCTCCAACCGCGATCCACCCAGCCTTTTCTTCTACCTAAGCCATATACAAAAACCATTACACTTGGCTCCTTGAATCTCCTTTTGTCTGTGCTGTCGTAGCAGTTCTCTCCATAAAGATGCATTGTGAGCCCTGACCCCCTGCCCCCCGTCCTCCATCTTTCCTCCACACCTAAACCCTAAACCTTTAACCCCAAACCCCGAAAACAAATAAACCGAGTCCAGCCATTCCCCTGCCCGGTCGGCCTGTGCAGCAGCCACGCCGAAAAGCACCGCTCTAAAGTGCACCTTCTCCGAGTGCTGGGTTAAGGCAATTCCGACTACTTAGTCACGGGGCCCTGCAAGGCACCCACAATCTGCAAGCCCCAAAGCCTATAAACACCTGAATGTCTAAACCCCTAAAGACTGTAGGGTTTAGGGTTTAGGGTTTAAGGCAAACCCTGAAAACCCCAAAGACTAAGGGACCAATAAAGACCGAAACCTAAGCAAGGAAACCCAACAGTACCACTATAGTTACCCTGATAAAAAAACTGACAGCAAACTCCTAAACCCCCAAAGCCCAAGGTATTGCAATCGGAGACCCTAATGTAGGGGCCTGAAGAATTGCCTATATTATTTAGGAAGGGCTCCTTATCATAATTATTGTATAATGGGCCCAAAAACCCTATTCTAATTATTAAGGCCCCTACATCATAACCCTAAACCCTACTCCCTAAACTCCAAACCCTAAACCCTATTCAGGACTCCAGGTTGATGATGTTGAGCGCTTCGATTGATGCCAGACTGTGTTGCCTATCATGTCCAGACGCCATGGTCTATCGACCCTGCAAACAGGTTTTACATAGGGGCCTTACTAATTAAAATAAGGTTTTGGTGCCCATTATACTAGAATTATAATCAGGAACCCTCAAAATAGTGTAGGTAATTATTAAGGCCCCTATAGTGTTGTTTAGGGTTTAAAATCTTGGCCTCGCTTGTTTTGTATCATTTGCAGCCCGCAAGTCTCACCTTGAAGTATTGTTTATCTGGGTTCTTGTTAAGGGATTTAATTTGAGTTACCATAATAAGGAAACCATATTATTTACTATCGATCCCTATTATGGTAACTTAAATTAAATCCCTTAACAAGAACCCAGTTTATATTGCTACACACTCCGAAACATGTCCACGATGGTGCGGCTTCTGTAGGGGGCGCCCCTGCCGCTGAACCGCAAGGGAGCATGCCGAAGACACCCGACCGCGTGGGCCCATCTTCGCTTCCGCCAAAGCCCTAGCCCCTAAACCCTAAACCGGTAAACCTAAACACTAACTAACCCTTAAACTCTAAACCCCTAAGCTCACCTCGTCCACCGCGACTCGACCATAAATGAGCTCCTCCAACAACTTCGCAGCTTCGACCGACCGCTTGTCCTTCAGGCAATTCGAGTTCACAACAGGAGTTTCGGGCTTGGGATGTAGGCTTTTGGATAGAGTTTCGGGTTTAGGGTTGAGGGCCTAGAGTTTAGGGGTCTAGGGTTTAGGACACGGTGCTTTGACGAGTCTGCGCCTGACTAGCTGCTGATTAACGATGTCACCACAGCAACCACCACTAACAACGACGAGAACGAAAACAACAAACACAGCTGCAAGACACAGCAGCAGCAACAACAACAATAACGACAAGTAGTAGTCTTCGGCGTGGTCGTGGTAGTGGCAGCGGTAGTCGTAGCAGAAAGACTGAACCCCATACCTTCGGTCCCAAAGCCCCAAGCCCTAATGCTGTCCTTGACCAGTCGATTCAGCGCTGTGGTGGCGGAACGCGGGCTCGCCCGGAAGGAAGCCAACTCGCCTTGAGCCCTCCTTTACAAAGCGATTGAGTTTCGTGTCGCAAAAATACAATACAATAGACTATAGTAACATACTACAAACAAGTTGATTGACTGACTACTGTTAGTTACGATGGACTAGAATAGACTATAATATCATCTGTGGTTGAGGAGTGGAACTTGGAGCGTTGGCTTTCGGAACAGAGTGTTGGGGCCCACGATACTATAACTATAATAAGGAACACCCATTAAATTTTGGCAATTCTTGTTTAGGCCCCTATATTATAGGGGAATGCTATGCGGCCATTTCACCCCTAAACCGAGCCTTAGGGGTCTCCAGCTCGCCTAACCCTAAACCCTAAACCCGAAACCCCTGAACCCCTGAACCCTGAACCCTAACTCCTAAACCCTGAACCCGAAACCCTGAACCCTGGTAGCCTAAACCCTGAACCCTAAAGCCTAAAGCCCAAACCCTGAACCCTGAACCCTACTTAAACCCTGAACCCTAACTCCTAAACCCTGATCCCGAAACCCTGAACCCTGGTACCCTAAACCCTGAACCCTAAACCCTGAACCCTGAACCCTAGGTAAACCCTGAACCTTAACTCCTAAACCCTGAACCCGAAACCCTGAACCCTAGATCCCTAGATCCTAAACCATGAACCCTAAACCCAAGGTCCTGCAACTGGGGGCCAGGTCCGTGCATGCCCGGCAGCCAGGTTCGCCGCCGCGCATCGGAGAGGTTCCATGGGGACGGATGAGGGCGGCCGCCCGGCAAGCCACTGCCTACTGAGTGGCTTGCACCCGGACTCCGTCGCCAGCAGCGCCGAAACAGAAGCTGCACATCGTGTCAAGGAGGCATCACGGAGCACTTGCTTTGAGTGCTGGAAAAAGCTCCTGGTAGCTGCGGTCGAAGAATCGCACTTGCGGTTTCAATTGTACGCAGCAGCGGCATGATATGCAACTGCGACAAGAAAACACGATAAACTTCGGGCAAGCCGCTGTGCAGGAACATCCTGTGATCCTCCCTAGACATGAGAGCGACAGTGAGAAAAAGTGGGCAGGAGCAGGACAGAGGGAGACTCCTCCAAAGGCATGTGGATCAGCCGAAGTCAAGCCTTGAAAACAAATTGTAAAACGGCTCATTTTACTTCAATGCTCGGGCCCCTATAGTAGCCATGTAGTCGTAACCCTCACCAAACCCTATCAAATAAAGCACTATTATGTTTCTTAATTTTTTTTGGCGGGTCATGCACCCGGAGCGGTTCCCCAGCCAGTGCGGCAGCCTCTTCAGATCTTTCTCCGTCAGGTCGTGGCCTCCGGCAGCAACTGTTTTCTCTCGTATTGTACAGGGCTTACAGAGTTTCCAACAGGCTTCTTTTTAGAGGTATTCAGGGGTTGTTATGCTTGTTTTGGCTACGGAGTTGTTAGGTGTTTGTTTTTCTGGGTTTCTGCAGCGCTTGTATATAGGGTCTCTACAGACTTTCTTGCCAACTAGACTAGGCATTTGGGTTATACTAGAGTACTCAGACCTTCCAGAATCCTTTGATTTAAGGAACCTTAAACCATGCCATAACAGGGATCCTACTATGTCTGAAGGTATATTCCTCAAGGAAGGGATATTGGAAGGTCTGGGTAAAAGCACACAGGGACCTTGAGGACGATCGTTCGGACTGCTAAATTTTAAAGTACGCTTGAACACAAGACCCTCCCGTGACAAATCATGGTCTTCCCAGCGGGATTCCATTTTAGTTGAAGGTAAATCTTGACCTTGGTACTTAACGCAGGGGCATTGATCATGTAGGGGCCTTGATAATCAGAATAGGGTTTTGGGGTATATTATACTTTGATTATAGCAAGGAAACCCCACAGTAGTATGGGTATTCAGGCCCCTATGTTAATTACAATAGGGGCTCGCGGGGCACAAGTTATCGTATGTTTACGTGGGGACTATGGGGTTCTGAAAGCCCCAAAGCCGGAAGAATCACTGAAACGAAAGCCCCGAAACCCTAAACCCTAAACCCTAAAACCCTAAATTATAAACCCTAAACCCCAAAGCCCTAAACTCTAAACCCAAACCCTAAACCCCAAACCCTGAACCCAAAACCCTAATCCCCAAACCCTAATCCCTTTCAAGGATCCTTTTCTGAGAGACATCCCTCTCAAGCCTCTCCACGCACGGACCTGAGCACCTAAAGACCAGAACTGAAGATTACACTACACCCTTGTAAAAGTTAAAAGGGTTTAGGGTTTAAGGTTTATAGGGTTTAGGGTTGAGGGGTTAAGGCTTAGGGTTTAAGGTTCAGGGTTCAGGGTTTAGGGCTTATCGACTCCAAACCCGCGCAGCCCCATAACGAGGCCTAAACCCAAAGCTTCAAGCCCTCTTAGCCTGTGGTCCCCAAACCCCATGAACCCTAAAACCCGTGAAAAGATTCCTGCACCGTAAGTTTTACCCCAGGACTCCAAGACCATCCTATCCAAGACCATCCTAGACCCTAAACCCAAAAAAACCCTGAGACGTTCGTCAGCAAGGAGAAATACTGACTGGCCCAAGGAGATAAAAGTTGAAACTTTCAGAATCGACTACCTTATAAGAACCCTAAACCCTAAACCCTAAACCCCAAAAGTTGAAAAGTTGAGTTTACAGCCAATAAGAAATAGACGGGCGCACATGTCTGTGCAAGCTTCTCGAAGTCGGCTCTGGCCTGCGTTTGGGGGTTTCGGGACTACTTGGAGGTTCATGGGTAGTTATAAGTGGAGTTATAAGTCCCCTAATATGGGTTATAATTACAATTACCCTACTTATAACCCCACTTATAACTATCTATGGACCTCCAAGTAGGGGGTTTAGGGATGATAGGGTTTTAGGGATGACAGGGTTTAGGGATGCTAGGGGTTTAGGGATGCTAGGGGTTTAGGGAAGCTGGGGATTAGGGATGCTAGGGGTTTCGGGATGATGGGATTAGGGATGCTAGGGTTTCAGGGTTGAGGACTAGGGTTTAGGGTTGAGGAATTGGGGTTTAGATGTTCGTTTTGTAGAAATTTGAGCTTGGGGCATGCTGGAGGTGGGGGTTTGGGTTTACCAGACAAAACGCAGCGCATGAAGTAGGGTTCCTGCGTTAAGGAGGCTATACGGTTACTTGAGCGGGCTTAGTACATGAGCCTCCATAATTAGACGAGGGACTTGGGTGCATTATGTTAAAAAGATATAGTGAATATGATGATTCGGGTCTATGGATTGGGGCTGTAGGTCGAGGGATTAGGGCTTGTAGGCTGGGGGGGGGGGGTTGGGTGATGGGCTTCAGGCAAGGGTTCATGGAGCTCAAGGGGCTTGAACCCATACGCGGGTTTCCGAAAATAGGGGACCCTAATATAGTACCCTAAATCGTAGGACCCTTATTATAAGGTACCCCAATTTTCGGAAACTCCCATATCTGAAATCAGAGTCTGCATACCCTAAAGCCTAAACTCGTCAGGTCGGTCAGGCTGGCAGAGGGTAGCACTTTTGGTTCGAAGGCCCGTCCCTTGGCTTTATTTGCAGCGCTCGACAAGGTGAGTGGAACACGTCGATGCTGACGATGCTCTGTCATGTCTCTTCATGAACATATGTGTGTGTATATAAGTATACACATATATCTACATATGTATACAAATAAAAAGTTATGTATATATATATATATATTTGTAATCACTGTTCCTATTTTGGGTTGTCTGCAGCTTTCTACCGGCGTATTATGGTGTAGTATGCAAGTCCTGTCGGAATTGACGATCAGATTCCCGGTGGTTGGATGGCAGCGGATCAGCGTCGTATCCGTTTGTGACACGCGAAGCTTCCTGACCTTCGGTTTATGTTTGCCTTCTCGCAACAATGTCGATGCAAGAACAAACTACAGCATGAACAGCAGCATCGTGTTGCAGAAAAAGCAGTTCAACCTGCGCCTACTAATAACGGCCTGTGTCAAAGCCCTGTGAATGCTTGGACTTTGAAGTAGCCAGGGAGAAAAAGTATAGACCCGTAGTTCATAATGGCTCCTTAAAGGAATCCCAAACCATCAACTCTCAACCTTAAAAGAAATGCATTCCAGCATGGTGACTGCCGGCCTCCGGAAGCATCTTTAAGGCTTTCAAGGCGAGGCAGCGCCGATACAACGCCTGCTGCGACGAGCACTACTAAGATAATGTGTTATTTTTCATCTGGGATATAACAAAATTCGTGTGGCATAGTACTGTATGTATAATCTCGTATAGCTGGTATAACAAGATATAGCATGTAATATGTTGTAATAACCTGGTATAACAGAATATATTATTACATAACGAAAAATGGCAAACTAGCTGTATGTGCGAACGTCGCGAGGCTGCAAATGCTAATGTGATGCTGGCGATGGTGCCAGAACATGCTGCTGCCTATCATAGGTCAGAACCATGTCGCTAATGATGATCACGATGCGTGCTTTAGGGTTTAGGGTTTAGGGGTTTAGGGGTTTAGGGTGTTCGAAGCTCTGCAGCAGCTTCGACAAGCTTCTCAGCACGGAGGCTGCAAGCAAAGTCGCAGCGGATTACATTGCGCGTAGTCGGGGATGTCGTTTTTGATGTGTGTGAAGCTCATACTCACTAGCCGTATGACCCTAAAAGGCTTAATATAGGGGCCTTAACAATTAGAATAGGGGCTTGGGGCACATTATACTATGAACATAATATGGAAGCTCCACAACAGTATAGGTAATGATTAAGGCCCCTACGTTACACTCCTGATGTGGGTTCCGAGCCGTGCCACTCGTTTCGTCAAGGCAATCGAGCAATCGAGATGGGAAGCTGCTATATCTCAAAGCCACTCCCCCTATAACTTAGGGTTTAGGGTTTACGGTTTAGGGTCGTAAACCCCAAATGCCAAGATCCTGAACCCTAAAACCCAAAACCCGAAAACCCTGAACCGCAAACC